GGGGGGGGGAGTGGGGGGGGGAAGAGGGGAGGGGGGGGAATGTAGTAACGCCTTCAGACTAAAGCCCAATGAAGGTGACCTTGCTCTCTCTCCACTGGCTTCAAATACACTTATCTCCAGAATAGCTGGAATGGAACAACAGAACTGCCCATATCTTATCAGAAAATGTGTTCAGTCCTCTATCTTGAATCATGGAAGTTTTTTTTTGTAGGTCACCCTGCTATGATGCCGAGTAATTAAATGTGTATTTTTTTCACCATTAATATTAATATCAATATCAATGACTGGCTCATGTCATCACTGGAATGAGTTGCCAGCAATAAAGGTGACATTAAACATCACAAATGTGTACAATAATGAATTGATCCTTATAAAATGTTGTTTTTTAAAATGTAGATATATCTATCTATTAAATGACATGAGGCAGATAGCGAAGTGAAAACCATCAGGTACACCCTTAAGCTAAAATCGTTAATATTACTAAAAAAAATCCCCAACAACATGTACACAACTTGATCACATGGACACAGTGGCGAGGACCACATACCATGTGCGTGTGCAGGTTGCTGGGTTCCAATTCATGCACAATGTCACATACGCAGGTCCAGTTACATTTCAAATCGAGGTAATAAGTGACACTTCCACCTGATAAGCCACAATATTTCTATAACTTCTGCCCATGAAGCACGTAGGCAGTCCCATGGAAGGTTATCACTTTCACAGCTCTGTCATTAAAAACGACCACAAACATGATAAATATGGAAACTCATCACCTCGCCCTTCAAACCTTAGTCAGGAAAGTTACCACATTTTGGGGTTTTTTTTATGCTTTACCTGTGTCAGTGCTTTACACTCTCATGTCTACTTTTTGTCTTTTTACCTATTAATTACTTTATATCTTTACTCTTTTTTTCTTAACTGGTATATTGTAAAAAATCAATCAAATTTTACATTATGTAACCACAAACCATACACAGTGGAAACGCTACTAAGGAAAATAATAAGCATGACACATAAAAGAAAATGCAATCACTGCAAGAAAAACAAAACAGGCTACTTTTTATTTAAAAAATTGAAAAAACAAGAACAGCTCAAATAATAACTTCTCCCACAAATAACATATACCTTTTTGCCCTTAATTAATTTCCTAATTTTTCTTATCAGGACAACCGAGTGACAAAACGCATGTAGTCCAGAGATAGATGCAGGCGAGATCTTGAACATAAATCCCCATTATAATGATGCACTTAGTATCAGTTATAAAACATCATCAATCAGTCAGCAGTACCTGCACATGCAAAAAGTCACATAATCCTGCGTTAGGATGAATGGTCTTTGTTAACTTCAGAGGTTGTTTGCTTAATTAATCTCCACTTAATATCCACAGTTAAACCAACCAAAACAACACACCTACAACAATTGTAAATGTTTAATGACTATCAAACAGGCCCTAGAATGACAGGTTTGAATGACAAAATATCCTGAATACGATATACAAAAGTAATAAGATTTTGTTTGTTATGTCAAAAATAAAATAAAAAATGTTCTGGGACAAAAAAAAAAAAAAAATGCAGATGGGCATCTTTACAAAACAATTTTATTTGTTATATCAAAAATAAAATAAAAAAGGTTCTGGGGCAAAAAAAAAGTAGATGGGCATCTTTTCAAAACAATTTTGTTTGTTATGTCAAAAATAAAATAAAAAAGGTTCCGAGACATAAAATGTAGATGGGTATCTTTATAGAACCACCCGCTTTAACCTAAATGTGTTAAGACATAAGAGGGTAATCCCTAAGACATGAGAACTACTTGAAAACCCTGCTGGAAGCATTCTTGTGATGTATCAAGAGGGTGTAAAATATATCACAGCACTATGAAATCACAGCATGAGAGGGTTTTTTTCAGTGGATTAAAAGTTTTGAGCAGTATAAAATAAAAAATATGCCATCTGGGGCTGATTTCACAAAAGAATACAAATCCAAAATAATTTTAGTCAGGCCTGCTAAGAAAATATTATCATCATGTTTTACAAAAAATGTAATGGTCGCTCTTCTCAATTTTGGGATCTTACCACCACTTCTCTACATCAAATTCTTATTGTCCTGACACCTATTTCTACAACAACTGGTGACAAGAGCCCCTTTATATATACATATATATATATCAATATGTACCAATCACTAGCAAAACCCTCCCAGACCAAGATTGCTCAGTAAACTTCCAAGTCCATTCTTTCAGAGTTAAGCAGTCTTAACTGAGCCCCAAAAACCATTACGTCTTTTTATGAAATAAGCACATGTCCGTAATATATTTTAAAAAGTTACAAATATGTGTATCATGTCATTAAGTAAGGAATTGATGAAGTTTGTATCTTATTACCCATGACAAATTGAACTACTATAATCCCTACTTTAAAGGCATTTAGTGCTGTGCACCTTAAAATAGCTAAAGATTAACTTTCCTGGAAATTATCAAGTGAAAATTTCCCTATAATCACTAAAGAATACCATATACCATTGCCAAAATCACAATCCATAAACCCATTTAGGGGTTAATTAGTTATGTCATTTTGAGTCAATCTTGTAATAGAGATGAAAACTGGACTATCAAACTATCACACTGCTAGGCTGTTCAAACTAACTCCACAGAGAGCCTCATTGAATGCAATCAGCTTAACAAATTAACATACCTCCGTTTTTTTCCAACTAATTTGGATGATCATCTGCTTTTCTGTATTCAACTCAATTCCAGAAGGTATAGTAATTTTTTCATCTTAGGGTGCATTCCCATAGATTTTACACCGATCTATCTCCGTGGGGAGTCTCACTAGATTACTGTCAGATAATCTGGCTTCAATGTCCGTCCCGCCTACTACAAGCTGTAAGGGGGTAATTAACTTTCGGCTGACAGCTATTTAGCATGAACCCCCAGGGAATTAGGTCGATCTAGTTGGATCGATCTATTCTCTGGGAATGGGGTCTTATTGCATTTAGTGAGAGTCCCTGTGGAGTCAGCTTGAACTACCTAGCGATATACTTTCATTGTGAGCCCACAGACTGCATAACAGGAAAAAAAAAAAAGAATATAATACTACTTATAAAAATTGAAATAAAATAAAAATTTAGAACTCATTAATGTGTGAATCTTTTCAACACTTCCCATCTTTTGGAGAGGAAATATGATGATGAGAGAAAAAAATTGTTGAAATGTCCTGAAATGATTATTTGGGGCAAAATTTTTAATTTCTTTTTTATTTTGCTATATATATTACTGTCTTACAAGTATTGCAGGCCTTAAATAATATAATTATTCATTAGCATTACATGTGTAAGTAAAAAAGCAGTTTTATTTTACAAGGTCAATAATGTAATAAAAAATTTAGATCTTCCTCGACCATGTGGTGAATGCCAGTGAGGCCAGTGACACAGAGCATGTAATGGTAATTAAGACACAGATATAAATCAGATGTCTGTGGCCAGTGTTGCGTGGGTTTATATATTTATTACCATTAGAGAAGTCATTCAGGTCATATAAAGCTTGACATCACACAAATGTTACTCTCTGATATCCCACACTAATTTCCATCAATCATGGTGCATATTTAAAAAATCTTATTTGACAATTTACAAAATGACATAAATTGGACCAAACCCAAAGTTGTTGACTGTTAAACAACAAGTCTCATCCTACATCATGCAATTATGAATCACAGATTGGTGAAGAGCTCTCTTCTGATGACATGAACCAATATAGATATCTATAGATAGGATAATTGACTATGAAAAAAAATTATTATTAATACATATCAGTTTAAGATAGAAAAGCTCCTAATAGAGGGCTTATTACACATTTAAATTTAACATTAAGATCCCGTTCCCATACCGAGATCAATCTAACAGGATCGACTCATCTCCTAGGGGTTTCGCACTAAATTACATTCAGCTAAAGTGGCTCTGATGTCTGGCACTCCTACTGAAGCTGTTAGGGGGTAATTAACTATCATTTAGCAGCTTCAGTAGGTGCACAAGATATCTAAGCTGCTTAATCTGAATACAATTTAGCGAGAATCCCCTCAGAAATGGGTCGATCCTGCTAGATTGATCTAGGTAGGGGAATGGGAGCATGCAATGAGTTTGGCGATATATAAATAAATAAAAGATATTAACTAATTAATTTAATTGGCAAGACACTGGTAAAGATCCAATTCTATCTGATGTATTTTTCATAAAACTACCTCACACATCCATATTCATGAGAAAGGTTAAGAGCTTCCAAACCTCATGAGGCAATTCATTGACAAAATATAATTGATCCCTTTCCAAAATGCAATCGCCAAAACCACTACAAAACTAGTATCTCCGACTTGCAAAAATGAAAAATGATTTAATAAACTGAATAATAATAATAATAATAATAATAATAATAATAATAATAATAATAATAATAATAAAATTCAATTAAATAAAAAACAGAAATATTAAATTGGAAAACAGTAAAAATTAATATAAATCAAATGGATTAAAAAGAAAATAGTAACAATAGTTTTTAATAAAAAGGAAGGAAGGGAGTTTATCGGTTCGGGCCCAATGCCATAAAGTATATACCGTATTTATAACAGAATATACTTAGCACTGCACTGGTATTGCAACAGCTGCTGGCAGTGCAGGCAAGGGCAATGATGCCGGCAGAAACGGTAAAAATACATCCATATTCACGCTCTTACCTATTGGTGGCGATGTTTTACTGGCTTTCAATGTAAGTGTCATTTCTGCTTGTGTTGCTCTGCACAATATTTTCGTGAAAAAACTCTACTTTCACTATAAATTGGCTTTTTCTTCCACCGGGAAGGCTCTCGACAGCGTGATTTCAGAAAGAAACAAGTCCCGCAGTGAACCTTTTTGGTCAACTCAGTATGTCAAAAACAATATCCGAAGTGATTTTGACGAACATCACTAATTTTTTGTGATGAATAAAAATACTTTTAATTTCAAAGGGATAACCAAGAACAGCAGAGAATTTTAGTTGTTGAAAATATTTCTTCGAAACTAAATCAAACCTGTGACCGACTTCCCGTTACCTCAAGAAGGTCAACAGAAGGCAGCATGGAACGTGATACGGACAGCATATCCATCTGTAGATATATTTGTGAGCTATGTGGGACATTTGAGAACTTAAAAGTGTGTGGAAAGTGTAGGTCAACGTACTATTGTTGTCGAGAACACCAGAAAAGTCACTGGAAAGTTCACAAAAAGCAATGCTCCTCGTTTGTTCAAACGGAGGGGCAGCACCCAAGACTCTCGTCTTCTCAAGGGAATGCGGGAAGTCGAACGAAAATAGATTTGAGTTCTAATTGTAGGTCAATCGCCGTGAATAACAGTACGGGACAATCGTCACGTCAACCCTTGCTCACTAATGACGATGCTGGGCATCAGTTCGCGTCTATGAATATTCATGAGGGCGATGAAACGTATAAATCCGAAGAAAATTTACAACAAGAACATTTCACTGGTGCTGTGGATTCTAACACTAACAGTGTAGTCGATGTTAAAGAATTAACACCCTTTCTGAATACTTATGGTGCAGACCCTGATCCAAGCCTTGACACTGTCAGCAATATGGCACCTTACGACACATTTGCCATAGATCTTCAGAGACAACAACAAGAACGAAACCGACAGGTTGCTGAACTGGTTGTGAAAGATTTGAATGACTTTGGAATATGTGTAGTAGACAATTTCTTAGGCCAGAAGGGTGATCAGGTATTAGCTGACGTGAAGAAGCTTCAACAAAGTGGTGTATTTCAAGATGGACAGCTTGTTGTATCGCGGAATGAAACGGCAACTGTTAGGGGAGACAAGATAACGTGGGTAGAAGGGACAGAAACTGTGTGCCAGAATATTGGAGACTTGATTTCAAATATGGACACTGTGCTTATGCACTGCGGTGATCGTTTAGGCAAATACCACATTAATGGTAGAACAAAGGTGGGTATTTGTTAAGGAAGAAACACTTGTCTTTCAACTCAAA